TGAACGAGTACGTCTCCCCCCCAGCCGCCGCCATGCCCAAACTCTTTGCCTGACACAAAAACAAAGCCTGACTCGAGCAGCTAGCCGATCACAGCAGCCATAGAAATCCACAGATGACAGCAACACACACAAAGAGCCACCGATCCGCGCCTCGCGTGAAGTCTTCGCGCTGATTCCTCTATTAAACACTGCTTCACTCCTGCTGAAGCTCTGCCATCAATCTAATGGCGTTCCGCTCTGTGACGTTACGGATTGGGGGTCAGGTGATCGACACGGCCAGATTAGCTGTTTCCTATTACACACACACACACACACACCGAGATCACACACACCACATGGCGCGCGGTGGCCCAAGCACATCATTCATCCATTGAGCTGCAATCATCAGGACATTTTATTTTTTTCCTGCAGACATTTGTGTGCTAAAATTTACAACCATATTAAATATGTTGTTTAAAAAGCATTAACTGATCTAAATATACACGTAAATCCGCTTCAACATTCTCAGTAAAAATGCTTTAACAGGTGATCAAAGCCGACTGTGATTGGTCCATCCTGATCGGTGCAGAAAAAAAATGAACAGAAGCCACGTGATAACCGTGATCTGGACAAGAGATTTGCAACTGAATAATAGCAATTATGAACTTAAATGGACATTTAAATTAAAAATGTAAAGATAATTATTTAGATTACTATTTATTTAAAAACAACATCTCCGACCAATCAGGGATAACATCCGGGCCATTAAGCCCCTCCCATTTCTATTATTTATTTCCATTCTTTTTTTTCTTTTTTTTTTTTTATTGCAATTTTTAGAACAAAGAACATATAAGGGCCATAACATTTAAACTGAATGAAAACAAATACTTAAAATAAATAAATAAAAATTAAATAAGAAAAGCAATTAAAAAAAGAATCTCACATCTGTAAACAAGTACAAATAATTGCAAATTATTCAAAGAATAGATTTAAGGCTTTAAAATAATTTACAGGGTTTTTTTTTTGCTTTGTTATTTGATTTATTTCCATTCTATCAACTGATTATTTTAGTATTTTCAGAAGTGACAGTAGTTGCTAGAATGTCATATGACTTTTAAAAGCAGCAGATACCATATAATTCGCCAGTGCTAAACTGACATATTCCATGTGAGAAAATAAATATGTTAAAAAAATTAAACAGGAGAAATGCTTATAAACGGCTTATATTCTTGTTGATCGACTGTCAAACATCAACTCTTAGTAAACTAACATGCATTCAGTCAGTGTGTGCTTTATTGCTTAGTTTAAAATATATATTAATCAAAATGAAAGAGTTATGGGAATATAACAACTGATTAAAATAATAATATAGTAGACTAACCTAGTAACATATAATTTTTTTTTATTTTAAATTATTTTAACATATTAATTCATTTTAATAGGCTAATCTACTAAAATAGGACTTTTAAGTCTTTTGTCTGTTACTTTTTAAATCTAATAAAAAAAAATTGATGTTGAATTTGTAAAATATCTATACATACTGTATAAGCTGCTTGTTAAGATCACTGTCCAGAAATGAAGAGCAGTCAGAAGGCTTTCAAACCATTGCAGATCCAAGATGGATTCAGCTGCAAGAGTGCTGTTACCCTCCGACTAATCACATAAAATACATCAGGTCTGTTTTGGGCGATGCATTTTGGCAGGGCTGCTTGTTGCTGCATGGTGAATGTCAGACATCAGATTACCATAGCAACAGCAGAGAGCTGCATGTTTGCCACAAGACGACACAGCAGCGAGACTGACTTGGCAGATCTGAATTGTTTAAGAACAGAACAAATAACATATATCCTCTCAAGAGTGCATGAGTCAAAAATGGAGGATTTGTGATGCCGCTGATGTTTATGATGACAAGCTATTTATGAGGTTTTGAAGATGGCGGTGAGGCGTGCTTGAGGAGATTCATATAGGGAAACTGAAACAGGATTGTTATTGTTAACACCAAAACTGGAAAACGTTGAAAAAAACATTAACAACTAAAATATAATAAAATGTAAAAAAAAAATTAAAAAAAAATGTCAACTGTTCCCTCCTGGTGGAATGACCTGCCCAAATCAATCCGAGCAGCTGAGTCCTTAACCATCTTCAAGAAACGACTAAAAACACATCTGTTCCACCTTTATTTGACCCTCTAACTCTAACACTTTCTATTCTATTTTAATTCTACTTTATCTATATTTATCTTTTTTTATTTTTTATTCTTTATTTTAAAAAACAACAAAAAACAAACACTAGCTTTCTATTTTTTCTATTCTATCTACTTGTTTTTCTTTGTTTGTGTGTGTGTGTGTGTGTGTGTGTGTATAATATATATATACACCTTGCTACGTGTACTGTGTTAGGCTAACCGAGACTTGTCATTTGCACTATATTGCATATATTGTTGCTCTTTTGTTAGTTTTGACTGCTTTTATTGTCCTCATTTGTAAGTCGCTTAGGATAAAAGCGTCTGCTAAATGACTAAATGTAAATGAAAATGTAAACTTATTTTTTCAGCTAGTTGCCAAGGCAGTATTTCTCATTTTCATTTAGTTTGTACTAAAATAACTAAAAATCAAATTTCTATCTATCTATCTATCTATCTATCTATCTATCTATCTATCTATCTATCTATCATCTATCTATCTAATTTGTCTGATTCATGCTCTATTAAAGCCCAACACATTTTTTATAGAGGAGGAGCGCTCTATTGGTCTATCCTTGATCAAATCTGATCTCTAAAAGGTTTCACACAAAGAGCCAAGTGATGCTGACAATCAAAGGGCCACATTTCTAGCAAGACCGCTTTAATATCTACAAAGCTTTTACGTTTTTTTGGTGCCTTGGGATTAGAGATCTGATAGAATCAAGTCTTTTGGCATAACTAAGCAAACAGCATCCACCCTCCACAATGAATAAACTCATCCTCTGTGATTAAGAATGGAAATTATGTTGCCATTATATTGCAGCATTATGAGACAGAGATATGGGACGACATAGGCAATAAACAATATTATCAGCTTGTCATCAGATTCTGAACAATGGCTTGACAAAACCTTGCCTACAAGTTGCCTGCTCTTCTTGGTGCTTGCGATGATCAAATCCAATAAGTTATTGCATACTAAGTAAAGTATAGGCCTATTAAGTTCAAACAGCCTGGATAACCTGAACTGTGGCTGAAAATTTTTTTAATTAAAGTATGGAATTGTTTATAATCTAGTGCAGGAAATAGTATATACCACTACTACATAAGTATCGCTTTTTATTTCTCCTCTTTCCTACTACTTGTTTCACTTCTGTTTCAGTTTTTTA